AATGCAGAAAGAATTGTGCCTTGCAGAATTTACCATCTAAGGAGTCTTTCTGTTGTGCCTTTTGCAACCGGACGTGTCTATCTCGTATTGACCTTTTCAGCCACCAACGCGCTTGCAACAAACGTGGGTAGAGCCCTTCCCAAATCTTCGTTCGCGAAGCCCAACCATGATGATGTTTGTACTTTGCAAAGACCAAAGCTGTTTGCCTGGGATGTGACAAACTGCTTTTGACTTTCCCTTGTGGAATAACACTGACCAGCCGTGGTCAGGCTGGATGCTCAGGGAATAGGCGTTTTCCACGAGTTTGGTGTTACTGTAGTCCCCCTCCTGGTTTCCTCTGGGAAATAAAGCTGGTGGGGAAATCTGCTTTCTCAGACCTCTGTGGCCTGAGGCAGTGACCACCTTGGTGAAGGGCTCCTAGTCTCACCTCCACAGTGCTGGTGGAGGCACTTTCACAGCCCTTTGGCCCCTCTACTTTGGGATGGGTCCTCTCTGCAAGCAGAGAAACAGCTCTCTTCTCCTTGCTGCCTTCTCTGCATTCCCAACCTTGGCCTGGAAGTGCTGGAGGATGCCCAGAAAGTCCCAAATCACATCACAGAAAGAGCTAGTTAGCACCTGAGCTGATGCTGAACATCTTGTTACCTTCCCCTTCCTTCTCCTTTTCTGAGACACCCCCTTTCTGAGCTCACCACACCTGCACCCACCCGGGGGCTGCATCCTGACGAGGAATTGCTCGTGCAGGTGTCCCTCCCTCCCACTGCAGGTCCGTGATCGTGGTTACATTATTTTCCAGGTTCATACCTTCCCCACCTACATTCAAACCCCAACCACAAATGGTCACGTTCGACTGTGTTGGGTGTGGGCGTTATTCAAGGAGGTACTTCAGGCCTGGAAGTGTGCAGGAGCCAACCAAAGCCCCGGAAGCAGTGCAGGACTCTTCTCAACAATCATCACCTTCAGCAAACTACCTGGAAACAGAACAGGATTCTTCCCAACAGACATCACATTTAGAGAACTGCATGGAAACAGAACAGGATTCTTTCGAAGAGTCATCAGATTCAGAGGACTCCCTGGAAACAGAGCAGGATTCTTCCGAAGAGTCATCAGATCCAGAGGACTCCCTGGAAACAGAGGACGATTCTCCTGAACAGTCATCAGATCCAGAGAACTCCCTGGAAACAAAGCAGGACTCCTCCCAAAAGTCATCAGATTCAGAGGACTCCCTGGAAACAGAGCAGGATTCTTCTGAAGAGTCCTCACATTCAGAGGACTCCCCAGAAGCAAAGGTGGGTTTTCTTGTGCACCTGCCACCTGTGTTGCCTCCCCCGGCTTGCCACCAAAAAGCTGTGTTTGTGCCGACCTCCCCTTTTGCTGCCCTGCTGTTCTGTACCCTGAGAGTGGGCTGGGCAACAGGGCCAGTGGCTAGACATGGGGCATCTGGGGAGGGAGAAATAGGATACTTTTCTTTGGAGAAGCCCACTCCGATCCTACAGACCTATGATGAGTTTGGGATTTTTTGGCTTGTTTCCTTTACAATGTAAAATGAGGCTTTTCTGCATCATGATGAGAAGGCTTCCAGTTTCCTTCCTGTAGCAAGCCATGCCAAATCCTGATCTCCATGTACCCCCTTCCCAGCCCAGCTAGACCACCCATTTTCAGGTCTCTGCCTTCACCCAAGAGCCAGCATTGCAGTGATGGCCCCAGAGCTGCCTTTTATAGAGTGAGACTTGGCAAGGTGGCTGTGTCCTGGAATGGAAAGTGGCTTGTCTTCCAGGTGCCACCATACACTGCTGCAGGGCCTCGGAGCTCAGTAGAGACGAAGAGGTCTGGGCAGTCGGCGGAGGTAAAGCCCCCTGGCTTCAGAGTGGAGGAGGTGAGTGGGAATCTCTCTCACTTGCACGTTTTCAGCGTGGCAAGCAGGTCTGTTGCCCCCAGAGCTACAGAACTCCCTGTGCAGCACCCATGGAGGGCACTGCTCCCCTGGTACCTCATCAGGTGCTCAACAGGATATTTTTCAGGAGCATTTGGTGTAGCACCTTGAGAGAGCAGCATGTAAGTCAGAGAGAGGGAAAAGCCTCAGGAGTCAGATGAGCTGGGCTGGAGTCCTCCCCTCAGCTCCAAGAGCTCTCACCTCTGAGTCTCTTGCTTTTCTGAAGGCAGTAAAAACTGGTTTTAAAGGCAAGTTCTGCAGCAGAGAGAATGTTTTGCTGCCAGGAGACATCCCAGTTTACTTTAATGTCTAGTATTAATGCGTTGAGCAGTGAGTATGGCGGAAGACTTTGGCCATGCTCCCTCCACTGGTCAGTGGCACGGAGGCCGGATGAGATTAGGATGCTTCTGGCTGGTGTTTGAGGAATAGGCCCCTCCAGCTATGGTTGTACTTTGCTCCAAGCCACAGCTGCTCTTCTGCACCCATTTCCACGCTCAACGACTCGATCCCTCCTCCCCTCCTGCAGGTTTTCGACATCCAGCCGGTGTCCGGTGTGCTGCAGCCGGGCAAGAGCCAGCAGGTGCCCTTCACCTTCTTTGGCCACGCCAACATCATCGCCCGTGTCACGGTGCTGTGCCAGGTGGAGGGAGGCCCAACCTACGAGGTGGAGCTGAGGGGGGAGACTTCAGTCCTCACCTACCACCTGAGCGTCGAGGAGATTGACTGCGGGCTGCAGGTACCACCCCCTTCTCCTGGCAGAGTTGCTGCCTTGGGACCATCACCAGCAGGTTACTTCCCAACCCGGCCCAGGGCTCTCTCCCCTTCCCAGCTCCTTTGTTGGCTCTGGGGCTTGGAAGTACAACCTTGGAGGGGTATGTCTGGCATCCAGACTGCTTTGTAATGGCCACCTCTGCCCCCCTACAAAATGTTTGGAATTCCTTATCTTCAGGGTACCTAATGCTGCCTCCTGGAGCAAGCAGGATCCCAGTGGGGATGTCCAGAGGGACATGTCCCTGAGAAATCCCTCTGCTGATCCACTCGTAAAGCCTGAGCTCCAATGAGATGCTCTTGTTTAATGCTCTTGCTTAATCCTCAAAATAACCCGGTTGGGCTTCCGGTCACTGCAGTTGGAGAGAATGTCCCAGAGTAATCCCTACTTTACTACTTCTCAGTTAAAAGTCCACAGGTCTTTCCAGCTGCTGTCCCTGTCTTGGTGCCCCATGTGCTGGTTTAAAAGTTAACCAGCAGGGGGAATGAACTCAACTCAAAGGAGAGATTGTAAGTCAGAATAACAATTTATTAAAATAATACAGTAAGTACAATAATACAAACAAACAATTGGTCTCAACCCACAAAAACCCAAATGTATAACCCAGTACCCTGGGGCATGAACAAAATGGTGTTCCTTGGGCCCTGTTTGAGTCCAAAGTAAAGGGAGAGGGGAAGAACCTGCTGGTGGGAGAGCTGCTGCAGTCTGGCCAAAGTGGTGATCGCAGTCCAGTGATGGTCTAAGTCTGGTTGAGAGCGATGAGATGCAGCCGTCCTCTGGATCCCACGAGTGGGTTGAAAAATGTTCCAAAACTCCAAGATTATATATCCTCCAGTTCAGGCAGGAATGCTTGGTACTCCCCTCAGGGCGGGGAGTTTCACAAAGGGTGTGAGGACAGAAACATCCTCCTATCTCACAGGCCTCTTAACACCTAGTTTATAGCCTGAGGAGTCAGGCTCTATGGGCAGAGGGTGCGAATAGTCTATTGACAACAATAGTCTAGTTTCTGGGAAATGACATGGAAGGCTATAGAATACACAGTTTTGGGTTACACCCACCATGATGAACTGGTCTTCAGCTGTCGTAACTAGGACACCCCATCTGTCTCCCTTTTTGCTGGTGTGTTGCTTGCCAATACTTGCATGCAGGTGTCTTTTCTTCTGGAATGCCTCGATGCCACCTCCTTTGTTTCTCCTGGCTGTTGGTGACCCCTCAGAGTGCAGAGGGCCTGTGTCCCCTGCTTCATTTGTTACTGGCTCTCCCACGGTTGTTCCTGCCCCTCTACATGCTGCCAGAACTCTGTTCCTGTGCAGGTCCCTGTGCCTGGGGGTTCCCCATGTTCCCAAGTGGCCATAGCTTGTTCCCAGTCCCTGCTCCTGCAGTGTGTCTGCTTTCAACCCCATGAAAGAGGAAGGAGATTCCCAGCACCAGGCCTGTGTCTGTAACTTCCCACTCCTCTGTCCTCTCTCCAGCTCTTTAATGAAGTCACCAAAGCAGAGGTCACCCTGCGGAACAACGGGAAGATGGGATTCACCTACATGGTACAGAGCCCCAGCACTGGCACTGCAGACAAGCCTCTGCCTGGTGTGCTCGTGGTCCTGCCCAGCACAGTGAGTGGCACAATTGACTGACCCCAGCCCTGTGTCAGGTGGCCAAGGAGAGGGTTAAAGAGAAAAAAGAGGGGAAAACAAAACCAAACCCAGCCATGAGAGACAGGGTTGTAGCTGCTGGGGGCAGAGAAGGTCAAGCAAGTGCCATCCTGCCAGACTCCCTGTGGCCTTGACTGGTGAGTGGCTCTGCCATCCCAGGGCAGCCACCGGTGGGAGGCACGAGCACGTTGGTCACTCCTTGGCCCCCGACTGCTGAGCTCTGTGGCTGTGATGGCACTGAGGCTCTTCTGAGGGTCACCTACCCCAGCTATGGGATCAGACAGGACTTATTCCATGCCCGTGCCTCCACTGTGCCAGCACTAAGCAGCACTTACAAATTCCTTGCTTGGGCTTGAAGCTCCTCAGCCAGAAATTGTCGCAGCCCCTGTGCTGGTCCTTCCCTCCCCCCAGCTGTGCTGCTCTGGAGCAGCTTTGTGGGGCAGTAAGGGGGCCAGGGAGGAGCAAGGTTGGAAGAGCCAAGAGAGGAATTTGGAGCATCCCACCACTGTCCCAGCTTCTCAGTGCTACCTGGATGTCTTTGAGGTGAAGCAGTGTTCCTGTTTTTGTCCCTCTTTGCACCAGGAAGAGGAAGCCGATTGGCTTTCCCATTTCTTCCTGCCTGTCTCCTACAAGGGGTGACAGGAGTTGCTGGCCCTGCTGACAGCGTGGGCACTTCACTCCTCTTCCACAGTGGTGGCAAAAGAGCTTTTACCTGTTCAGCCTGGCTCTCACTGGCAGAGGGCAAACCCTGCTAGCAGCAGAGCCGTGCTCACGCTGAGCACAGGGCAGGCTCTGCTGGGGGTGCAGCCTTAGGAGCCCTGGGAAGGACACACTGCACCCTCTGCACCCTCGCCTTGGAGGCTTGAGCTTTTGGGCACGAGGAAGTTAGAAGGTGATGTGATCTGATGTTTTCTTCCAGAGAGAACCTGTCTTCTTAGCCTGTCTTCCTCCATCACACCCTCTTTAATGCATTGCCTCCCTCTTCTCCTGTCCCTTGCAGGCTTCCATTGAACCTGGCAAGGAGCAAGTGCTGAAGCTCTATTACCTGCCAGGAGTGCCAGGAGTCTTCTGCAGGACTTTCCAGGTTCAAGTGGGTCACCTGAAACCGGCAGAAATCTCCCTGAAAGGAGAGGCAGTCTTTGCCGGGATCTATCTGGACCTGCCCTGGAGCATCAACGGTGAGCAGTGCCCATCTGCTCCCCAGCAAAGTCCTCACTGAGTTTTTTCCCAACTGTAATGCCCAGAGGGCAGCTCACACCCATCTCCACCAAGCCTGGAGGTTGCGGGGCTGCCAGACCAACACTCACCCCTCTGGTTGCTTCCTGAGTCTCGAGCAGACAAGCACATGTAGGCTTTGTCCAAGTAACCATCCTGCAGCTCTTGCCAGCACTTCCATCAGAGGCCTGGAAAGATGGCTAGACAGAAAAGCTTGGGAAAGCTATAAGAGAGACTGGCAGGGCTTTTGGCAGGGTTGGATTTGCATGACACTACAGGGGATGAGATGCTCCTCTGTGGGGAGGAAGATGGGTGGGAATGAACATGAGGATTCAGAGACAAGCAGCAGCATCCACTCTCCAGAGATGGCTTTCCATTGATGGGTTGTTTCTGGGAGAGACCAGCCTTTGGGGGAGTGGAACTTCTCAGCTTAAATGGTATTGGCACTGCACCCACACTTCTATTTGTGAATGTTTACTTCCTTCAGGAAGTGAAAAATACGAGAAACTATTGAAACAGGCAAAAGAAAAGCTGAAAAAAGACAAGCAGGACAAGAAAGCAAATGTTTGGAGGAAGGCTCGAATCAGGAAGCGACACGTGAAGGGCCCTGGCATTGTGGTAAGCACAGCTGCAGTCCCATTTGGCACATACCACCCTCCCCATGTCACTTGAGCCCTTGGCACCCCACAACACCCCACAACAGCTTCTCAGTGCCCTGCTGGCACTTGGGACCTCCCTGCCCACACCTGACCACAAACATGCATCAGCTCAGCGTTGCCCCACCTCTGGTCGTGGTCTCTCCTGGAGATGTACCAAGCTTCCCGGCTACTCCCCTTGCTGGGGAGTTTGTTGCTCCCAAATCAAGCCCTAGCAGGTTTACAGACCTTAGTAGCAGCAGCCTGACTGTGCCCTGGGACTGTGCTGGCAGTGCTCAACTCCAAGAGGCACCAGCTTGATTGGGGTTCCCTTTTCTAGGCAGCTTTTGTCCAAGCTGCTTTGGCACTGGTTGGGGACAGGCAAATACTTGAAGCTCTGGAAGGTTGCTAGCTTGTCTGTCTGGCCGGATCAGCTTTTCTAGCAGTGGGTGGGAAGGCACAGATACTGCAGTTATTTCCCTGGAGAGAAGATCCTGGCTAGGAGAGCAGAATGTGTCACGGACACTGAGCAGTCAGAGAGGGGGACCCCATTCCCCCTCTAAACAAGAGCAGGGTGGGATCCTCTTTCAGATACAAGCCTGGGCCCTGGGAAGGGCCTTTGCTAACCAGCCACTGCCTTCCCTTCCCTCAGGCAAACACTTGGCTGAGGATGGAGATGGAGCAGATGCTGATAAAGGAGAATGCTCTGGAGCTGCAGCCAACCCTCATCTCCCGCCCCCCAGAGGACACTGTCTTTGACAAGAGCATTCCTCAGAAGCTTGTCCAGTGAGTAGGGACTCCTGTTCCCTCTCTGCAGATGCCCTGAGGGCAACACCCAGCAGTGTCCCCTATTCCTGAGAGCTCCTTGAGCATGCAGAGCTGGGAACAGTGGGCATTTCAGAAAGGGGCTGTGACAGCAATAGCTCGTGAGCAGCTGACTGTCCTCCCTTCCCCAGTGCCGCACTGAGCTTTGGAGCTGCTCAGCTCCCCAGAGGTGCAAGGTCCCATTCTTGGAGCTGAGGGGACCCAGTGCAGACCATCAAGCCCTTCCAGACAGCACAGACACTGTCCCTGCTGACCAGCTCTGAAAGAGAATTCCAAGCTGCTCTCTTGGTTCTGACTAACAGAGTACCCTAAGCAAAAGGTGGCTTTGATGCTGGTGGGGTGGCAGGGCTTATCTGGGTAACTTGGTCCTTCCCTTTGCTCCTTCATGATGCTGCATGGGCATGGGAGGTTCCAGTTCAGGAAGAAGATGCTTTGCAAAACAGATCCTTCATGTGACCTGGTTGCAGAGCAATGAAGTTTTCCGGTTCAAATCTTATTCCAAGGCTCAGAAGCAATTTCAGGCTTGGGCTGTGCACCAGGAGAAGCGTTTTCACTGAGACCACTGGAGGTCCAGTGGATTTACCTACACTGGCTTTTTGTAGTGGAGGAGCTGTGAACAGAGTCCATTTAAAACTAATTTTATTTTCGGGTCCCATTGGAAGCTGATGAAACC